GCTGCCGCCGTCTGGGCGCGCGAGGGGAGAAGGTCGCCCGTCTGCGCTTCCGTCATAACTTCACCGGTGCCAAGCGCTTTGCCATCGCCAGCTTTTCGGGGTTGACCCGGCCTTTGGGCGAGAAGGAGGAGGGTTCGGGTCGCGAAGGTTTACTGCAATTAAGGGTTACTGGAATTAACGGGTTCTGACGGCTAAGGTTAACGTTTAATCTTGCTCTGTGGAAGTCTTGTCTTCCATTATAGACTGTTGGTCCCTAGTGCTCAATGACAGGGTCTTAGACGTCTTCCATGCAGTCCGTGTGCACGTTGTTGGGCACCTCAGGCTTGATTCTTCAGTGCTGAGCACCAACTATGTGCCAGGCTGTGTGTTAAAAATAAAATGGCGATCTTGCCCTTTTGATTAGGATTGCTTCCTGAGGCGTCTATGATAGCAACCTAGGTGACCCTATATGACAGCAGCCTGCTCCTAGTTCAATTTCTGGAAGACGTTCTGGCGCCGTCTTCTTCACACTCCCCACCACCACCCCTCGCAGAAAAGAGAGAAGTGTGAAGGAGGAGGTGCTAAAATCCAAAAAGACAGTATTGTTTAAATTCAGGCTTAAAAGCAATCTGAGTCAATTCTGTTATCCGTAGTATTGAGAAGAACCATGTGATTAAGTACAAAAAGTTTCTCTAATATATATTCTCGCTTCCAATTTACTTGCAGATTGTGTTTTATTCTAATATTAAGTTGTCATTCCCTCAGCACATCCTTACTGGTAACTGGGAATTGGAGAAATTAAATGGCAGGGGAAGAAAGGTCAGCCTTAGGTTAAAAATTAAGCAAAAACTCCTCATGTTCGTTGGCACAATTCAAAGTACATTCCAGTCTACACTATTTCCAGAAGGTCTGCATGTCTAACTACCTACCATATGACAAAAGAAGTCATTGTCATTGACCTTGCTTCACCAAATAAAGACATAAAAATGTTAAAGGCCACCTGTCACGAGTTCACCCAGTCAGGCTGGCAGTAAAGAGTGCCCAATCCAAAGTGAGATTTGTGCTGGACACTCATGAATAGTAAATGTAGGAAACTCCCTGCCTTCCTAGTGTGTCTTTATAAAATGAGCCAATTTTATAAGTTTCTAATGCTGCGCCTCTCTGTAAGCCAAAGGAAAAGAAACACTTTGGTTTCCTACTGTTGAAGTTATTATTTTCTGTGAAATAGAGGGGAATTTCAGGGGAAATAAATATTGACCTCTAAATGAAATAGTGAGTTATGCTTACCAGTCTTGAAAAGTGAATATTTCTAGGTTGACACCAAATCACTAACCACAGAGATATCATTATATGAAAAATACCATAAGCTAGTTGACAAGTGTAACTTAAGCAGGCTCAACTTCACAGCCAGTGAAGAAGGCTTATATGTGCCCCTCCTATTTATTGCCCTTACTTGTTTTGCAAAATTCATTTTTCCTTCAGGAGAGTAAAAACATCATTGTTTAAATTAGGGGTTATTGCACATGTCCAACTGCAGTCTGCAATTCCAAGGCCATTGATGGTGTTACCAGTTATTTCATTATACAGTAGTCCCCCTTATGCACAATTTTGCTTTCCGTCCTTTCAGTTACCTGCAGTCAACTGTGGTCCGAAAATATTACATGGAAAATTACAGAAATAAACAATTCGTAAGTTTTAAATTGCGTGCTATTCTGAGTAGCGTGATGAAATCCTGAGCCATCCTGTTCTGTCCCACCCAGGACGTGAATCATCCCTTTGTTGGATCTCCAACCATCGACATCATTATAGCTAGATGATCCTCCTCACATGTGGTTAGAAGGTCAATAGTAGCCTAATGCTGTGTTACAATGCCTGCGTCATTCACCTCACTCCATCTCATCACATATCATCTCACGTCATCATGAGAGGGGTGAGTACAGTAGAGTAAGAGATTTTGAGAGACCACATTCACACAACTTCTATTACATTATATTGTTATAATTGTTCTATTTTATTATTAGCTATTGTTGTTAATCTTTTACTGTGCCTAATTTATGCTTTAAACTTTGTCATAGGTATGTATGTAGAGGAAGAAATAGAGTATATATAGGGTTGGTACTGTCCATAGTTTCAGGCATCCACTGCGGGTCTTGGAACGTATCCCTCGCAGATATAGGGGGACTATTGTAATCCTACACCAGCATCAAAAAGTATTGTGTGTGTGCGTGTGTGTGTGTGTGTATTCTCTTCTAAAGACTAGTTCCCTCTCAAATGAATTTTAAAAGAATCAGTACTGTTTTGCTGGGGGTTTTTTAAAGCAAGTTGCAAATTTATTCATAAATTATGATTACAATTATATAAAAATATGCATATAAAAAGACTAAAAGGAAATATTTGAAAAAGATTATAGCCATTGTGTTAACATGTTGACATTACATATGATTTTTTCCCTATATGTTCTGTATGTGTTACTTTTATAAATAATTTTAAAGAAACTGGTACTTCTCAACTTCTCAAAGTTAAGGTCAGATTTGAAATAGGTGGACTCAGTTGTATCAAGGTGAACACACATCCAAGGGCAAGCAACAGAAAGCAGAGAGTACGTGAAATAAATGAATATATATATGCATATATCTATACGCAACGGGGAAGAATCTCGTTCTAGAGAGCGTGAAGAGAATTTTTCGTTTTCGTTGATCAAAGGCATAAACAAGATTCCAAAGTGGCAGATAAAGTGATTTCCCTTTTACAAATCCATATAAATTAATTAATATTTTAGGAAATTAGAATTATTAAATTCCTAACAAAACAAAATTCTCCCCTACATATTTCAGATTTATAGGACTATGACTGAGATCCACTTATGTATTACAATGTGAGTTATTTGTATTTGTTCAATCATATGGTAACTTTTCCATTATCGAAACAATTTTAACATCTATTATACACACACATACACACACACACCATCTAGCTCTGCTTTAAGTGAAAATGAACTCATATGCTAGAGGGAAAAAAAATACAGCTGGTATACAAAAATAGCCTTTTGATTTATTTAACCTGTTCCTTCTTAGTTTCAACTGGTTCCCAAAGTATCCAAGGAAGATGTTCAAGGAGAAATTAACAGACATGACCACTAAATGTACAGAGAAATAACCAGGCTTAGGCCATGCTCTCTCCACTCTTGCATTCTTCTATGAAGCCTTTTTCCTCAAATGTCAGGGATAAGCTGAAGTTCAATGTTATGAAGCTCTCAGGTTAGCTCTGTGAAAGTCAACAAAGCCAAAAAAGCTTCAGCTGTCTCTCTGAGCCAAAGTATTTGAGGCTCACTTGCTCATAAAAGGCATATTTGTTATAAGGACCATTGTATGACATACCCTCTACTAGGTGCTAGCGATTTAGTGAAGTACGAATCCCTCTCTCAGTGAGCTTCAGGTCTGGTGTGGGGAGATAGGTGAGCACTGACAATTACATGACAGGGAAGAGTGCTGTTAGAATCAAGCCCCGGGGGCTCATGGGAGCACTGAAGGGGCACCAGAGTGAGGGTAGGGAGATTGGCAGTGTGTCAGGGAAGGTTCCTGGATCAAGTGCCACCTGAGTTGAGCCTTTATTTAAGCAGGAGGAAAGAAGGGTGGTGTTGCAACGCAGCAAGCAGAACATGCACAGGCACCCCTAGCTGCTTTTTCCTGACACTTATCCAGAACCCTCCCCGGCTTTACTCTGCCAATAAATAGCTTGCCTGACCCTAATCCCCCGATACTCTTGAACTGGGAAACTGAAATTGTTACCACACAAAATTGGGGTTCTCTTGCCGAATGGGCATAAACAAGCCAATTAATTACAGCATTAGCCTTTGGGAAAAGAGATCAGGTTTATTCTGCGAGATGGATCTGCAGGGGGACAGGGGGCCTGTGCCCTCAGGTCTGTCTCCCTGATTCAGGATTTGGGGAGAAATTTAAGAGGATAGGGAGAACAGGCTGGCACGTGGAAACACTGGCAGGACAGGTTTTGATTGATAGGCTTCAAGCATTTATGGTAAGGTTCTAAACATTTATGATGAGGTGGAGAAGGAATTTTATCACAAGATCCTCCCGACTGGCAGATCGCTGGCTTCTGCTAAGACTCCATCTTTTAAGTTCCAGTCACGTCCCCGTCTTTTGGTTCCGTGGGGAGGAGAATCTTTGGTGCTGCGATCATTTCAGGTCAAGATTTCTTCTTCTGCACATGCTCTGGCTACGTGACTTTTCAAATTTTCTGAAAGACAATTCTTAATCACTCTGTTGATAAGAGATGGGGTTAGTTGAACTGGTCCTGGAGGGCCCGCCAA